CATCAGGCGCTACCCTCACATCCCCTCCAGATTTCAGCAAGTGATTATCTGCAGAACATCCTCCATGCCAGCAGTGCTAGAGAACAATACACATTTTCCTGAGTGATTTGGGTTTTCTTTCAGGCCAATTTAGTGCTATATTGACTAGTGACTCTTATTGAGCTTGTTAAGTGATAATATTCACACCTCCAGGTAGTGATTCAAAACCGTAAGGTGATTAAATCGAATGTTTTTTGAAGTTTGGAAAGATGAGTTTGAGAAGGCCGTATATGTTCGTTTGTGTGCAAAACATTTACGGTGAAACGTAGTTCTACAGTAAATTGAAATATCTTTTTTATGCAACTTTCTATACGTGATTACATTTACATTCACTATCTACTGTTTATTTGCATTAATTATGACTAAACTTCACTTGTAATTAATTGGTATTTCTGTTACCTTTGGCGTCCAAGCACATGTTACTTAAATTGTTCTTTTTTCTGCTTTATTAGCGTCGGCATGTGATTGAAAGGTATAAGTGTTGCAATACCTGGCTAGCGATCTAACCCCATGAAAAGTAACGATAAATGAGCCGTAAAATATTTAAACCTTCCTTTATATTCCGTATACTATATTTAGGCTAACTTCGCTGGACAGTAAAAGTCAAGTTCGAATTTCATTGAAAGAGTTGTATATTTGATATAAATTATTTTGTGGCTCGATTCATGAGTGATTCGTTGCTTACCGAAAATCGTTCAGTAAGTCGAGGATTTCGAAAACTTAGTGGGCTCCAGTATGTCATCAGGGTCCAGTATCCGTAGTTATGATATGAAAGGGCAAATGAACTCATGTTACGATCAGCCTGCCTGTAGGTTTACTCTGCTTCCTTTCTTTCTCTGATTTTTCTCCATTCGGATCGGTAGTTCATTCCAGTCGTAGGTCAAACAAATGTTGATCACCAACCTAGGTGATATGTGTTGAATGATTGTGGGATCTGCTGGAAGTGGACGGGAATGGTTGAGACATTTACTGCTTCCAAATTAACACCGACAACACATATTACAGTTTGCTGAAAAAACACGATGGGTAGCACTATTCGTGATGAAAACCCTAACTTTAATTTTCGGCCATAAATCCCCACACTTATCTGTTACCCTAATTTTACTCACACACTCACACCAAGTTCACAATCAAGAGTTTATCGATCATGGTGAATCCGTATGGTGCTCAGTAATATTGCCTACTACCTCGAGGTGTCTAAATGGGGTCATCTACGGGAAGCCCACTGTTGACATCGAGTACAATTGTAGAATTATGGTCTACTATGATATTAGTACTGCTCTAATAATAGACCTAATCCTAAATTTGTAGATTTGTCATGATATAACTGCCTAATCTATAAGATCTTACGTGGAAGTCACACCATCGACTACGCCAACTCACTGTATCGTACCAATTACCAACACATGATGTAGAGCAAGGTTAGGCTAGAGAAAGAACAATATATTTAATATGAATAGAAGAAATAAGATAACATTCAGTATGGACCACGCATGCACGGCCGAGCCATGCCGTTCGATCAATTCTAATTCACTCAACTCATTGTTCGCGCCTTCTCCATTGTTAGGTATTTCCCCGAGTTAAATATTGAATATCTATTTTCTGAGTAGTCTTGTGTTCACAGCTTTGTGGATTGTGTGGCTATTGTCCAATGCCACTACACGATAATCGTATGCTGGAAGGGTTATCCCACTCTACGCGTATCGAATTCCCTCATATCCTGATTCTAAGGAACTTCAATCTCCCTAGAGTCACTTTCGTGAAAACTCAACTGAAGCTTGGTTCTTCAACCTCATTGAAGATCTGGGACTATTCGAAAATGTGAAGTCAGCAACTCCGTCACGCTTAAACTGGGTATACATAAACAAAGAATTCCTTGTTGAAAACCTCCCAATACAGGCTCCCCTGGGGAAAAGCGATCACGCCGTTATAGCCTTTAGTTTTGTTAGCAAAACTGAGTTAATATATCCCACCAACAACAGGCTCTGGAATTTCAAACAGTTGAATGTTTCAGCTTTACAGGACTATCTACAACAGGTGGATTGGGATGTTTACCCTCAATTTGGTGTGGATACTCATTGATATTTCTTACTGCACATGTTCTTATGTGCTACCAATCAGTCAGTTCCCCAAATGGTCACCAAAAGCTACAAGCAACATACTATCATCAAGAACCGCACTCTTCGTTTGTTAAGCTGCAAAAGGCACTGCTGGGTAGAATACAACGGAGCGTACAGGTAATACAAACATATGAGAAACATATGCACGAAGGCTATAAGAGAAGACAGGCTTCAGGACCAGATAAAGCTTATAGATAAGTTTGTCTCTAGTCCTAAAAGCTTATTCCGTTATGCAGCCTCTCTTTGACGAGCCAAAACTGAAGTTTCCCGACTGCTAGGTCCTAATGGCCTGACCAATAACAATGGCGATGCCGCTAACCTTTTGGTTGAACAATACTCTCGGACATTTCAACCGACCCATATCAACTATACTGATGAAAGCTTTATCGGCAACTGCACCGGACTTTCCGAAGTGAACCTCAGCGCTGACTTGGTGTTCCGAAAACTGCAGCACTTAAAAAACACTCCTTCTGGCCCAGATACTGTTCATTCTGCTACACCGAGGGAAGCAGCTTAAATCCTGGCAACACCGCCTAGAGTGATGTTCTAACACTCGCTAAGCCGGAAAAACCATCCGAATCACTAAACCTTCGGTCGTTAGAGTATAGGGGTTCTAGAGGTGACCCCTTCATGGCTTACAGTATTCTTAACACTTCTGGACATCCCCTTAAACACCTATTTAAGCTTAGTCCCAATACAAACCTAAGGGGTAACACCCAGAAATTGGAGATACTTCATAGCGGAACGGACTTTAAATACAACTTCTACTCCTTAAGAGTCGTCAGATGCTGGAATTCGCTGCCGACCGAACTAGTCCAAGCGACTTCCCAGGAGTCCTTTAAGGAGGAAACCTGACCTATTCTTAAGGACTAGGGACAACATTTTATTATGATTTACAAATTTCTTTTTTCCCTATTATCGTTAATACACCTAGGTTCCTGCCTGGAGGTATTGGTGACAAGGAAGCCCGTTAAGCGAAAGCTTCTTCCATTCCGTCCACAACCATCTGAACTATTTGAGTAGGCACTCTCAAGGTCTTCGTCAAGCCAAAACTGGAGTTTCTCAACTGCTAGGTCTTAACGGCCCGACCAACAACGATGGCGACGCCGCTAACCTTCTGGCTGAGCATTACTCCCAGACATTTCAACCGACCGACATTAACTTTACTGATGACAGTTTCGTTTGCAATTCCACAGAACTTTCCGAAGTGAACCTCAGCGCTGACTTGGTGTTCCGGAAACTGCAGCACTTAGACACTTCTCCTGGCCCGGACATCGTCCATTCCACCATACTGAAAGAAGCAGCCTCAATCTTGGCAACGCCGCTTAGCATGATGTTCTCACACTAGCTAAGTCGAAGAAAACGACCGGAAAATTGGAGGCCGGCTCACATCATACCAATTTTCAAAGGGGGTCGACTCAGCGAACCTTCAAGTTACCGACCGGTGGCTCTTCTCTCCATACCCTCAAAAATCATGGAGTCCTTGATATGTGATGGTATAAATTACTATTTACTGTCCTTAAATTTCTTCTCACCCCAACAGCATGGTTTCAGGAAGGGTTACTCTTGTATTACCAACCTGCTGACTGCGGTAGACAGATGGACAAGCATCCTTGATCATAAGGGAAAGGTTGATATAATCTACCTAGATTTCTCAAAAGCTTTTGATAAAGTTAACCATAAATGTCTTCTCAATAAGCTCAAACGACTGGGTATCAAACCACCTCTAATTAACTGGCTCACTCCATATCTAAAAAATCGACATTTTAAGGTCAGGGTTAATTTCACTTAATTTCAGGCTATGGAATGTCCTAGTGGGGTCCCCCAGGGCTCAGTACTGGGGCCTTTTCTCTTCTTGATCTACATAAATGATCTTCCTCAACAGGTAACGTCAGACTTATTACTTTTTACCGACGGCGTGAAACTTTGGAGTGAGATACGCAACCAAGACGATATACAGGCACTTCAGGAGGATCTGACTCGAGTTCAAAGTTGGGCAGACGATAATGGACTTACCTTTAACACTTCAAAGTGTAAAGAAGTCCATCTGCGACATGTCGCAAACTACAGTTATAACTTAGGTAACTCCTCTCTAGTAGTATCCGAAGTCGAAAAAGATTTAGGAGTGTTGGTGCCCTACGATTTAAAGTCTTGCGCTAACTGTGACAAAAATGCCTTCCGAGCAAACCTTGCACTGGTAACACTGAAGCGCATTTTTGGCCAGTTTGACGGAGGAACTTTCCATATAATCTTCAATAGTTTTATCCGTCCCCATTTAGAGTACGGAAACATAGTATTTCCTCCCTCATTCCAAAAGGACAAGGACACCCTGGAGCGTATCCGACGGCGGGCCACTAAATCAGTTCGAGGACTCAAATTTAAACCTTACGAAGAGCGCCTCCATACACTTAACCTTAACCCATCAGAGTATAGACGTCTTAGAGGTGACCTTCTGATGGCTTATAGTATCCTTAACACTTCTGGACATCCTCTCAAACACCTATTTAAGCTTAGTCCCAACACTAACCTAAGAGGGAACATTCAAAAACTGGAGACACAAAATAGCAGAACGGACTGTAGAAACAACTTCTACTCCTTAAGAGTTGTCAAATGCTGGAATTCGCTGCCGAGCGAGCTAGTCCAAGCGACTTCCCAGGAGTCCTTTAAGAGGCGACTTGATCTATTCTTAAGGACTAAGGATAGTATCACACTATGATTTACTAATTTCTTTTCCTCTTTTATTCTTAACATACCTGGGTTCCTGCCTGGAGGATTTGGTGATCCCCTGTTACTAGACACGGAAGCCTATCAAGCGAAAGTTTCTTCTATTCCGTCCACAACCATTTGAACCATTTGAAGGTCACGAAGGCATCGCTCAAAGGTCGTTCATATGTTGTAGTCCAACTACTGAATGGATGTTAAGTGACAAAATATTTTCTTTGACAACTTGGTTGTACAGTGACAAATAGCTGGGTTTATAGTTGGTTTTCCCTGAGTGAATTTAAGGTGAGTTTGGTGTCTTCGAGAATCACTAATTTCTATGTGGATCTAGTTTACACTAAATCCGCATGTCACTTTTTAGTTACGAAGTAGGATCGAGTGTAGATTAGGACAATATTATTCTAAATGTCATTTAAGCATGTCACACATATGTTTTGCATTCGTTAAAGTCCAGAGCTTTTTGTGCACAAAAAGCAAGAAAAATGTCTTCATGAAGACATTTTAACACCAAAATTTTTTGGTTAACCTTAATGATTCAGAAACACTATCGCTGAGTATTATAAAATATTTTTGTCGGAAAGCTTATCATTTTTCATCTGACGTGATTCGCGTTTATGACCGTAAAGTAAGTAAGCTTTCCCTCGTCCACTATGGCATCGCTCAAAAATCGTTCATGAATTACATTTTCCCAAGAATTCTTTTAAAAAATCCTAAGAGTTAACTCTTAGGATCTAACCTACTGAATTTTAGTATTAATTTTAGCTAGCTTAAATCAGATCACTCTTGATGGCATAACTAGTAGTTTCAATTGGAATTGCTAGTTATGCCTTGTTAACAAGCAAATTTATACATAAGCATGCTAATTTGCAAGTTTGCTTGCAACAGACAAATGTTATGACAAATATTATCAGCTATCCTAGTGCGTACAGAAAATTACATTGATCTTCATGGAAAAGAAGTTCTGATTTCCGTAACATACGTTTCAGGTCTTTTTTGAAACTCACCAACTGTATTGTTGGTGAAACCCCTATCCCGTAGAGAAAAAGCTTGTTAGAAAGAACCTTAATCAGATTAAACAGCTTAACCTTTCCTGACTAAGGAACAAAATCATTTTATCATACAAGCTATGCATTACTTTGTTGGCTTAGTAAGTGGCGGTGTATTGCTGTTAAAATTCTTTTACATTGGTTGGTTGTAGTTAGAAGTAACCATACTTAATAATAAGAACGATATTAACATCATTAATTATAACCACTTCCGTTTAATAAGATCAGTGGTATACTGCTTTATCACAATTTATAAGGTGGTGTGTTTCGTAATTTTGAGCGTCGATATTGAAATTTTTTAACTTCATACTCAACTACTGTTAAAAAATTCATGTCATCTTCCCTGATTTTTCATGTCATTCAGAATCCCAAACTTTGCCAAAATGTATATAATTGGTATTCTGAAATATTAATCCAGTTTCGTTAGAATTTATCTTGCTTCATGCTTTTAGGTGTTTTGGGATCAAACAATACTCACCTATGGTTGATCAGACTGGCCTGGATGTATGGACTTTGGAATCAGAGATTCAACTTTTTCATGCTATATTGAATCACAAACCCGTTGGTGCAGATCGTCATTTTCAGATGATATATGTATGCAACCTTGTAAACTCGTTTGTGAGTGACCCAATTAGTACAGATACTATTTGGAAAAAGCTAGGTTCGTTGTATAACATGGAAGAGTTGGTAATTTAATCTTCCTCTTAATACAGCATTTTCATCTAGCATGATTCTGAAGTTAATCCGTTTCAATCAAAGATGAAGGAATTCAGCCTCCCAGAAGAGTATGACTCCCTGAAATCCTTGAAGTATCCTCGTGTGACATCACAGAGTGGCATATCTGTTTCTCGATCTCCACGTACTGGTGAGTTAATACTAGAGTTCACCCTCACTGTACAAATACTGTTCCTGTTATTTTCTTACACATACCGTAAGATATATAATTCAAAACTGATATTGCATTGTTACCCACAGATGCGAAAACACTGGAGAAGTATCTCCTCTAAAGATGATTGAACCTCTAAACTATTATACCCATTAGTTACAGAGCTTTCTCTTAAGATGGTGTGCATTATCTGACACGTAGTTATAGCCTAAAAAATAACTATCCGTTGATAAAATAAATATATTCCCATCTTTATAAGTAAAGACGAATGGTGGCTGGCAGTGTAATCCAGGACGCGCGTTTCGTCCTATCTAGGACTGACCAGCTGGTTATATCTGTATCCCAGAGTTGATGTTCACTCCACCGTTACCCACCATCTATCTTTGCTTATAATGCTTGTGACTTAAGGTAATATCCAGGCAATCCGCACAGGATAGGCATATCCCAATAAGAGACTGGTCAATTTCGGTCTTGAACACCAATGGTAAGATTCAAACAATACAGAATGAATTATTCCCATCTTTGTTTCAAATTAGAAGCATAATAAGAAGGATTAGCTACTGCACCTATTTATGTTAAGAACTATTGTTTACACTGTATTAAACCGTAATAAGTGTTTCTGTTAAATTTGTCTTTTTAGATTCCTTTAGTCAAAAAAGAACAAGGAAATCTTTGCGTTCAGTTGACTCAAACACAACTCTAGTCTCTTCAACTAACTCACCGGCTACTACAACCGCTGGTTCTGTTACTTCACGAGAAAAAAGACGTTGATTTCTGTTCCCATATTGAATATGCGATTTGTTTTGTATCACTAACAAAGTGTTTTGCAATAAATATTTGTATTTGCTTCATTGTTTTGATTTTCTCCCCAGTAACGTCTGTAAATAAATTGGGTCTTTCAATTGGAATATCCTCTCATTTTTCAATAGAGTATGGTCATGTTTAGCAACATAATTGTCATGATTTTAAAATGATAAAGTTTACTTTTTATGGAACCTGATCTCTTTATTGTAGTCACTTCCATATATAGTATTTACAACTCAACTTATTTAACATATATAGCTAGTAGACTCGATAAAACTGTGTTTACTAAGATGAATCATAACCTGACGAACTAGCAGATTATGTTTTTTGCGTATAAGATCACACATCGCGAAGTCAGTTACACTTGAACACGATTAAAAGAGATAATTGGTACTGCAGTGTGTATCATCTGATGTACCTCATTTGTTATATGATCATGAAAGTGTGATATCAAATAGAGGACAAATGTGATAATTAGAAGTATTTAGATTATTATACGAACTAGGAGTCTGTGATGAATAAAAGTATTTGAATTATAGTACAAACTAGGAATCCTAGGAATAACGCAATTTAACCAAGAAGTATCAGATGAGTACGAACGAACGTATTGTATTTGGAATTCGAAATCAGGCAGTCATCAAACACAAAAGAATCATTAGTCCATACAAACACCACATCCTCTGCAGCTTAAATGGGAATCCGAATTCTGCAATCAATTGTACCTCTTCTCCTTAAGTTCAGCATGTCTGTCCGACCGTGTATTGGATATAGTCTCTGTATGATCTAGAATATACTTATTAGTATTAGAGTTAACAACTGAAATTGGGACGGACTCACGGGATTGTATACAACCACCATGTCGGTTATGTACTGAAGCCACTGATACCTAGAATTTGAAATAAACTTTCAACACTTTCTTCCCCCCATGAAATAATGTGTGGTCCTTATGTCGTGCCCCCAAATGCCTTGGTATGGCCGAGAGCGGGGTGGGCCCGCTCTCCCTCTCGAAATACTCTCACACGGCCACGCGTATACAGCCTCTGCCAGGGAAGTCCTACTCACTGACTTCTCGTGGCGGGGTGTTGTTCACGAGAATGAGAGGATGGAAAGCGAATGTCCGACGCTTTAACCGGATCCCAAACCAATGGTGCACATGGGCCCCAGTATCCTGAGGGAACAAATGGCGTATGAACCAATCGTTGGTCACCGGCTACCATGGGACTGCATCTCCTCACGATGCTCTACTGCCTTGTGGGTCAGACCTTTAGGTCAAAGGCTCGAGGTGTGGCCCCCTAAGAGGACCACCTACTTTGGTCTGGGCACCCGGGCAGTATCACAGCCCACACACAAAAATGATGAACTGTCTACTTATGGAAAATATTCTTCTTGCTCCGAATAACAATCAAATGATTCACATTATTGTTATTATTATTATTATTGTTATTATTATTATTATTATTATTATTATTATTATTATTATTATTATTATTTACTACGTCATTTATTCACTCTCTCTTATTCCCACTCTATGTATCCTTATTTTTCGACTTATACAGCAGCTCGCCTGTGGTGGAAATTCGGCTCTATCTAAACGTTCTCGAGTCACTGCCTGGCTGAAAATTGCATGCTACCACCAAATAAGAATACTGAAGCAGTTTTTCTGAAACCACGTGCACATTCAAACTGGCTGTCTTCAACGTTCGCACACTTATGCAAGTCGGACAACAGATAGGGCTGGCTATGTCTTTGGAAAGTCCTAATATCGATGTCTGCTGTCTATCCGAGATTCATATTCAAGACTCTGGTAAAGTACTACAAATTCGCTGTCCATCTGTCACTCCAAAAAACTTGTTTTACGTGCGTTTACTTGGGGATCATGTGGTATCTTCATCTGGTCTTGCTGGCGTTGGTGTCGCACTAAGCTCTAGAGCCGAGACAGCACTAATCGATTGGATCCCCATTAACAGTCGGTTATGTGCTGTTAGATAAGAAAGTTCCATCAAACTGAGAAACGATGACTTTTCGTCATCTCCGCCTATGCCCCGACAGATAGCAGCCCGGATGCAATCAAGGATGAGTTTTACCACCAGTTATCTGTTCTTTTCCAGAAAGTGCGTTCGACAGATATTGTAGTACTAGACGGAGACTTGAATGTTTAGGTCGGGCATCTAGGCACAGAAGAGAATCGTTTAGGTGGCCGATGGGACTTATGGGTCGCAGGACAGATAGCGAGGACCGTCTACTGCAACTGTGCTCAAACCGCAACCTGTTTCTGTCTGACACCAACTTTCGGCACAGTCATCGCCGATGTGCCACCTGGCGTCCTCCCTCTGTATCTCAAGCCTGGACTCAGATTGATCACATCGCGATCAGCTACCGCTGGCGTGGTTGTGTATAAGACTGCCGCTCCTTTTGCAGTACCTATCTGAGCTCTGATCATGCCCTGGACCGAGCCAATCTTACTTTACTTTTCAGTGGCCAACGAAGTGACCGCTACCAAAGGATTGATGTCAGCAAGTTGGTTGCAGCTTCTGTTGCAACTAAATATCAAACTAAGCTAGGTTCAAGGACAGCTACCATCCCACCGAAAAGTATAGATGAGCATTGGTTGCAATTGCATGACGCCATCAAAATGGCGAGTAAAGCCGCTTGAGGCTTCGCAAAATATCCCGCTTATAAGCACTGGGTTTCTTCAGGCTCCTTACAACTCATTGAAGCCCGTCGGTCTACTCCGAGTGCCCGTGAGTTTGACCACAAACGACGACTGTTGCGTAATGAAATTGGACAAAGCTTGCGTAAGGATCGAGAAGTCTGGTTGTCGGAGCGTGCTAATGAGCTAGAGGCGGCAGCTGCATCTGGTTACTACCGAAAGCTCTTCCAACTCATCCGAGCCACTGGCAGCAAGAAGTCTAGCGTGGGCGAAACAGTCTGTGAGAATGACAGGATGCCAATCAGTAACATCTATCGACGTCTTGGACGATGGGCAGAGTTCTTCGGATGGCAGTTCAGCTGGCCTGCTGCTCCGGAAACATCGGTCAGACTGTCCTGCCCCCCATGGCCGGTGACAACTGATCCACCAAATGAGGCGGAAGTCCGCAAGAAACTCCAACTCTTGAAGCGCAACAAAATCACCGGGCCCAGTTGACTCAACTTTGGCCCTTTTTAAAGATGGTGGTGACTTTCTGATTAAGGAACTGACTGTGTTATTTACAAAGGTCTGGGAGCTAGAGAGTGTACCAACGTCATGGAATGAGTCGATAGTTGTCCCTGTCTTTAAAAAGGGTTCACGTCGTTCCTGTAACAACTATCGGGGGACAAGTCTACTTCCGATTGCGTCCAAGCTATTGGCTCCCTTCATACTTCGTAGGTTGTTCAAAACCCGAGAAAGATTGACTCGCGAGGAGCAGGCTGGGTTTCGTTCCGGTCGAGGCTGTATTGATCATATCTTCACCCTCCACCAAATGTTAGAACACCGTCATAGTTATCAAAGGTCAACAATCGTAGTGTTTCTTGACATCAGGGCTGCCTTCGATTTGTTGGATAGGACTGTTCTCTGGGATTGTCTATTGAAGAAGGGTGTGCCTGAGAAGTTTATCAACATCCTAAAGGCCCTATATACAAACACCTTAGGTAGAGTGAGGGCATTTAATGGCCCGTGGATCTGACTCCTATTTAGATCGTACGAATGTTTGTTATCGCCTATTCTCGTATATAATCGTTGACTTAAATCACGTTATCCAGTAACGGAATTAAATAAGTCGAATAACGAGAATTGATTTGTGAATGCATATATTTTGTATATGAAGCGAATGAAACAGAGCAGAGCAAAATGACACGCAGGGAAGATGGCTGGGAAGCCAACTCCATTTTAGTCAAGCGTTACTCAGTATGTATAGTCAGACAAAAATAAACTACAGACATGTGATGAGTCATGGGATAAGAAGTATACACACACCTACGCGCTCATATAAAAACAGTAAAGATTGATAAGCGAATAATTAACAAGGTCAAAATATGACTCAAGTAGAATGAATAGAATGGAATGTCCGAAAGCTAGAATAAGGTATATGGGCTTAAAATAATGACTGACACTACAGGCATACAACCACCTTTCTCCATTGTTACATTCGAGCAGTGGGGTTAGGGAGGGTTGCCCAATCTCACCATTCCTCTTCAACTGTGCCATCGATGACATTCTGGAAACAGCTCTGATGAATGTAAGTAATGGTGGTGTGGATCTGTTGCCTGGAGAAAGACTTCTCGACCTTGAGTATGTGGATGATATTGTCTTACTGTGTGATAATGCCCAAGCCATGCAATCCGCACTTAATCAGTTGGCAATCAGTGTCCGTAGGTATGGTATGTGCTTTGCACCTTCGAAGTGCAAAGTACTTCTACAAGACTGGCAGGATTCTAATCCTGTACTCACCCTGGATGGTGAGCAGATAGACGTAGTTGAGAAGTTCGTGCATCTGGGTAGCTACATAAGTGCTGGTGGGGGTGTGAGTGATGAGATCAATGCACGTATAGTGAAAGCCAGAGCGGCTTATGCCAGTCTGGGCCACCTTTGGCGCCTTCGTGATGTTAGTCTGGCTGTAAAAGACCGGATCTACAACGCGTCGGTGAGAGCAGTTTTGCTCTATGCTTGTGAAACCTGGCCTCTCCGAGTTGAGGACGTTAGACGACTCTCTGTGTTCGATCATCGCTGTCTCCGAAGGATTGCTGACATTCAGTGGCAACACCATGTCAGTAATGCAGAGGTTCGGCATCGTGTGTTCAGGCACAGAGATGATAACTCAATTGGTGTCACCATCTTGAAACACCGACTTCGGTGGCTTGGACATGTTCTCCGAATGTCGTCCCAGAGAATTCCACGTCGTGCGTTATTTGCCGACTCTGGGACTGGTTGGAAGAAGCGGAGAGGTGGTCAGTGCATGACATGGTGTCGTGGCATGAAAGAAAGCTGCAAAGGACTGGCTTGTGTTGGTCCTTCACGACTCCCTGGCTGGGGTCCGAGAGATGGTGCAACACAGTGGCTAGAGACGTTATCAGATATGGCTCAGAATAGAAGCCAGTAGTGATCCTGCTGTAACCTTCTTTTACTTTTTTCATAAAAAGTGGTTGTATCTTCCTTAACTGAAAGAATTCTTTTGGTTGTACCTTTCCGTTTCCCCCATTATTATTATTATTATAACGCTACCTTACCTGTTCGTTATTGTTCTTTTTTACGTTCCTTAATTTTTTTCCCAATGTTAAACCACCATTAAAAACTTGGAAGGAAGCATGTGTGATCTTCACTGATATGAACTAAATCATCTAATAATATTCAATCATTTAAGCTAGCTAATCACACAGTTGCGATTAATAAAGAATACAAATGTTTGTGATGAACAGTGATAAGTGGTCCCCTAATGGAATAATGATTTCACTCAAGAAGTAAGATTCCGATTGTTTATTTAAAAGCCACACTTTGTATCTCTCTCTGTGTGTGTGATGACTAGTTAGAATAGCTATGTGGGCAAATCGAACAAACAAGGTAGAGTGGAATGCAAAACTGAAACTGAGTCAATATACATTTGCATATCATTTGCATCTTCCTATTGATGTTTAGGACTACGACTGATCAATCTGTTTTGGCATATTTTTGTAGTGAATTGTTTCCGAGACAACTTCTAAGGCTTCGTCTATAACTCGTTCTGATCAACTGTTATTAGGTAACTCCAAACAGTCTATGAGATTCACAAGACAATACGAAACGTTGACGACGCTTTATTTATTCTACTAAGTAAATCACTAAGCAACAAAACTAGCACACAAAGCCTATACGTGAAGAAATACTAACGCGATCAAACAAGTGATCAATCGAATACAACATCGAATAACCGGTTGAACTAACTAATAACATTTAAACATATATACGTGTATGTAAATCTAGTGTTTCAAGCAACTAACATTTAGACTGGAGAGAGGTGTTTGTGCGTAGACTGTCACATGTGATGATCAACCATGGTACATGCTCTCCATAGGTGGTATAATAAGATGATAAGATAAACAAACAAATTGTTACTATTTCACTACTAACACTATCCCTTCAATAAGTTATTTGGAGGGATTGACGTATTTAACCGTAACGTTAATAAGCCTAATTGTAGGAGAGGTGCTATAATCTGGTACTGCAATAGTGATCATTACATTGACAGCATTCCTCCCACTGTTTATTCCCTTAATTCTAAAATTTGCTTTATTTGGCTCACTTCACCACCTGCATTTAAACCCAATAACACTTTATTAATTCTAGTCAGATATTCATACCGAATTCACAGTCGTTATAACTTGTCTTATCGTTTTCACATCATTCGGTGGGATGTTTGAACTCGCATTTATTCAGTCTTCTCATATCGTCTTTAACTAGTGTTACCAGTAACGACGTTATAATCATCACATTGCTATGACTACAATTGTTTTCTCTCCGGTAATCAATTACATCATGTTCCCCCTCCCTCCGTCTCTCACTCTCGTCTAATCTATTCACTTACACATTAAACTTGTGTCAATGTAGTATGTATTTAACACTATTTCTCACTAGTGAAATAAATGACTTCATACGCCATGTTACACGCATAATTATAATGTGGAACTAATCCATGTCAGGTAGAGACAGGTATCTAGCTCAGACAATTGAACATGGTTGCGTGATTTCGTGGACTGTTTGAAGTTAGATACTAACACCGTTGGATGCCGGCTTAGTGGTCTAGGAGTTCAGCGTTCGTTCGAGACCGAAGGTCCTGGATACGAATCGTGGATGTGCAATGCTCACAAGTCCCACAATAGGACGAAACCGTACATCCACCTTAGTCAGTCATGAACAGTGATCTATGACCTGGCACAAAACACATCGCTCCATTTTCCCATACTCTACAACTGGTGTGGATTACTTTGATACTTTCACTCATTTAGCTTAGTCCCAATGTGTTGGTTGATGGGAGTGTTGGTAACTTGTAGCAACAATTTAGTCCTCGACTTCGCCTAAATCGTTAGGCTGTACAGCTGGTTGGTTTTCGAACAAACATAAGTAAGATCGAGTCTACTGCAATGCAAAAGGTATTTTGAATGGTGACTGCTCCTTACGCGACTTAGGAAACCTAGCATCTACCAGACCCATTAAATCCTTCGGTCTAGTCTTTGCGTCATCCATAGCAGCAAATCTCACTCGGAAAATATCTTCTATTCTGTCAGTCAAACCATGCTTCGAAAGTGCGAGCACTGTCTGCAATTTTTATTATTCGCCAAAACCCCGTCAACCAATTTGTTATGACTTTATGGCCCGCTAGTTATCACTTAATTTATTCACCAATCAAAATACGACTTACTCGCCCTTGCACTACTATACTAAACCAAAGACGTCCAACCGGTCTGATCAGACTAGCGTCCCACTAGTTCGTTGCTCGCTGCCTAGCCCGTCCAGCTCAATTGAATCCAGAATGCTAACAACAGCCTCCACTATGCGAATCATTTATTTCACATATACTGGGTTTATATACCAACCAAACAGACCGCAACGCATCATAAAATACAAAATAACATTTATACACAATAAAGCCAAGAAGTGGCTGTGAAGTGAACGTGGGAGACTGTAGTAACCTAATAAACTGAGTATAATTTAATAGTAAATGGTACAATAATAATAATCTATAGAACAAAATGAAGTCTATAATAGGAGGAATATAGATATGCAGTCCAGTTACTGAAAACTTATACAATAGGAATATATATCTAATATTAGTCCATTATTAGATCTCAAGAGTTACTCGTAATGTTGTAATCTTCACTAGGATATAGCAAGCTTCGTAAATAATCCTACAATATTTTATTCCGGATCCTACTTTAATGGCATATTCCGTAAACAACTGAGTCGTTTCGTTATATTGTGAACGGTTGGGAAACCAAATTTCTCAGACTAACATAGATATGCTTAGTTTCAAATGACAGCATTCAAGTAATGACTCCAACTAGTGAACGTACACCAAATAACTCTTCCGTTCTTTAACTTCTCACACAAACAATGTCCCCTTTAACGGTCGGAATGACTAAAACAACGCAGTGAAAAAGTTGGAGTTGCAAACGACACCAAAATATTTATAACCCCCCACCCTTCGTATAAGACAAGTTGTTGGAAAGCACTATCCTCTTTCTTATTTGTTACTGAGGTTTCCTTTCAACTAGCGCCTGCATAATTATGCATGTAGAACAAACAACTGTAGTGGAATAATCCACATGAAGCCAAACGAGTATTCGTAACATCGAAGAGTTCGAGCCAGATTTCATCTCGAGACAACTCGCAACCTATAATCTCATCTATCATAACTCGAACAAAATACAATACAAGATAAATTACCTAAGCAAGCCAAATCCATATAACTCTGCACTGTCCATTTAGTCTAGTTAGAAACAAACATAAACAAATGTAATAGGGAGTACTTTTAGCCCTGCCCAGAATCAACATTTCGGAGGTGTAGTGCTCTCTGGATTCGATGGTCTGGTCGTGAGACATTCATCATCCCATCCACCTAGACAACGTCAGTAAATACTTCGAAACAATCATCTAGTGTAATAAACACAAAATACATAGACATATCGACTGTTATCAATGTGGCTGGCGTTAACATGCCCAGTTACACCATAGAATATGAAGTAGATCTTTCTGGGAACTGACTTTTTTCTTCGTTCTTCACATCTTTACTACATTTACAAAAATAAAGACGTAGCATGAATTGATGAAATGTATATTAAAATATTTGAATGATTCTAGTTATTAGGAAAATCGATGTGCAAGTATGGCATGAGAGTTAAAAGTTTTGACAACAAACCATCCAAGTGTTGCGTGTGCATGTTTTTAGAAATAAAAAAGTGACAGTCTATCGGAAATAATAAAACGAATACTAGCGTTGATAATAGTAGAAACTGAACCATGAGTAAGTAGATCTCAAGAGTTCAACTTATCAATTAGGTTGAAAAGTTTGGTAAGATCTTTCGAGGCGCAATCTTCTTGTTCACGTCCAGAATTGGTCCTTATAAGCAATTTTGGAAGCCACTCATTCAGGACTTTATGGAAACGTTCAGATGGATCAATATTTTGTAGAAGTCGACTAATCCAATATAAAAGACGTCCACTGGCAAATAACATCCAAAATGGATAAAAGCTTATGAAAGGATTTCGGAAATGTGAACAACTATCAAATTTATTACTATTTGACATATAAAACGGACAAAGCACCTCAATCATTGCAACTAAATGCTTTAAACCAGTGGCCATACTTTGCAATTCATTAAGTTGGTGAACTTGCTCAATACAAAAGGAACGTTTATTTACTTCTTGACAACAATTTGATTTGGCCACATCAGCACACTTATCGAGATGTGTGCGAATGGAGTTAGCGAAATCTCCATCACCATCACGATTTCTACCGAGAAATTCACGATTTGAATTCATTGCGATTGTACAACATGACAACGCAAGTGCAACAGGCGATGTCTTAATGTTTTTAGCTTCGTTTTGGGCATGAGATGAACATCTGAACCATAGAACTAATAAAATAGCCAAACCTTGTACTTCAAGAGGCTTAAAATCTTTCTCCAAATTCACATTGAAAAATTTCGAGAAGAAAGATAAGAACGACAATTCAGGCGTCTCAGCACTAGGGGGTTTCAGAGGCTTCACCGAAATTAAAATCTTCGTCAAATCACCATCCACGTTTCTTCTATACTCACTGACACACTCATTCTCCATTCCACATAACTTTCCACTGGTGTCCAAGTGGTTTTCAAGTCCATATATAAGTCCATTTATAGCACTTCTCATCTTCGACATACATTCATCAAGCGAATTAGGAATCTTTATGTCCTCCATTACTAGACGAGAAAAAGCACCATTTCGTACATACATGTGGTCAAGTAGGGATGGGATTAAATCCAGAAATCTAAATCGTCTAATCAATTCTTTCGGCCAACGGTGAAATATACTGTCTTCATCATCATCATCATCATCATTTCTCTCCAATATAGGTTTACAAAATTTGGAAGCATCTTCACTGTAAGAACCCCGATAAGTTGTGGGATCCTGAATGCTCAAATTTCCCATCTTGCTTGACAACGAAACACTTGATGAGATATTGTGTTCAGTTGAAAAGACTAATTCACGAGCCAGGTTTTCTCCTGAACTACTTAGAACATAATCCGAAATCCTCAAACGAATTGTCTTTCCAATACCATCCCTTTCGTTTTCCCCGTAAAGTGACAATACCAATGACAATGGTTCTTCTATGTCACGGAATCTTAACAGCCAGTTAAATATAGCATCGATACGTCTGTGACTGTGGGACCTGCTGCTCTGTAGTTTAGAAGTACGGATTAGTGAATCGATGATAGTTGGAAGGCGAATATTTGATATCATGTCATTACCAACGAGAATGGCAAAAAGTGGTAACATAGGATACTTGAGTTTAGAAAATGGTCCTGAATTATTAAGAATTGAACACGACATGACATAACATGAAGCACCACTCCGTTTACAAATAGAACAAGAAATGAATCTCTTCTTAGAATAACGTGAAACAGTTGAAAATGGAATAAAATTATACACTTGATTATTATCATCTGGTCGATAAATAAAAAAATCAGAATCATTACTGGTAACAGGACATTGAAGATGAACAGCAAGTTCTGCTGTACTGATATCAGCTTCACGTTCACATGCTATGTATCGAACTGAAGATTCACGCAGAATTTCAACCAGAACATTTCTATCAAGTCGTGGATTCATGTCAATGTTCAACAGTGTGCTATAAGTTGACTTAACATCACGAAGAGCTGATGAGAGTTGTTTAAAGTACTCCTTGTTCCGCTTCATCAAAGTATCCAATTTTGTTCTCTAAACAAAGCGAAAAAACATCATTAGTTAATTCACAAAATCAATCACTGTATGTGACAAAATTCAAAAACATATAGCTCAAGATGTTTGGTGTTATGTGTCTCTTCATTCATCACATTCGATCGTGAATAATTGACCATCACTCTGAGAAATATACCAATAAACTGAAAGACAATAATGAAATCATATCTCAAGTGGTGGTAAAAAGTTTGTCACTACGTATAAAAACTCGAATAACACTAAATATTTGGCTGATTTTGTACACTCACTGCTCAGGACTCAGTCACATAATAGGACCAAACAACCGTCCAGTGCTTCAGTCGTGGTTTTCAATGGTGGTGGTCTAGCCTAGATTGACTTCTGAATTCAACTGGGAAAATTCTTAAATTGAATACTTAATAAACAAATTATTGTCATATGAATGAAATAGACTTCCAGGTATACAAGTGACTGACTGCATCAAAATCTTCATTTGTAGATGTCATAATTCGAGTCTCAATGTAAAACAGTGTTTAATGTCTTGTTGAAGAAAAAGCCGTAATACACAAACAAAATAATCGTTGGCATTTTGCAACATTAACATTAGCAAAGTGGGGACATTCTATGTGCAGACCATAGCGCTTCAAACACACTTTCTCATGGTTTAATTCATTAGGCAACTGTAGTATTGACCAACTGTATATAGATTTATATCTACCTGCCAAAACACCTCTACATTGGCCGAATAGAAAGGAGGGCATATTTCAGATTTTCCGAACATGTTACGAAAATCCTCACAACAAGAGAAAGAAACACTCTAAACAGTGCAATCACCAAACATCTCCTTGATACAGAACATCAGGTCGATATCTCGCAATCTTCAAGGTGATTAGTAAGTAAACAGCCAAATTCCAGTCTTCTCAAGTTTGCTCAACTCAAGCCAGTGTTATCATCAGGCGTCAAAAACATGACTTATGTATTCAAATTCAAAACGAGATGGTTATTAATCTTTCCACGCCTTGCCTTGGTCACAAATATTCCTTCGCTGCATCCTATAATAATAACAATTATTATCCTCATCATTGTTTAACTCTTTCTTGTATTTACTGCATCATTCACTTGTATTTCAACGATCTTCCAAATTAATAATCTTATTCTTATATCAACTCAGCTCTACTCACTTTATTCCAATCATCAGCATTTACTCATTATGTAATCACTTCTATTCAATCTATTCAATTTGTTTACACCCTTGCTATACCATACTATACTAATCTGTCTTCAATATAACTTCCATCCAACCCAACTCTCTCATGTAAGTCCATTAAACTCATCACGTAATTATGATTCCGAATTATCACAGGTTGTAAGCAGCTGACGAGAATCAGACGAAATAAACTGAATTCATGTTTTTGATTGAGATCATGAATCAATTGATGTTAGACCACCGCTGGAAACCTGGAAGCACTGGACGGCCGTTTCGTCCTGGTATGGAACTCTTCAGCACCATTGGATGCCGGCTCAGTGGTCTAGTTGGTTAAGCGCCAGGCGCGAGACCGACAGGTCCTGGGTTCGAATCTCGCAGGGAGCGGGATCGTGGGTGCGCACTGCTGAAGAGTCCCACACTATGACGAAACGGCCGTCCAGTGCTTCCAGGTTTCCCATGGTGGTCTAACATCAACTGATTCATGATCTCAATCAAAACCTTAACAATCTCCACAACCCCCATACTGAATTCATGTTATTCTGCTAGAATCTTTCAGTCCTCCCTCTTTTCAAAATGATAAAGGGAACTATGTATATCAAATCAATTATTAGGCATTTAACGTACACACAATTATAAACTACTCTAAGATGCACCGACTGCTTCAATCAATTACGATATCACCTACAATAGTGATAAAATATATACTACAAAAATGCCTCAACATTTAAGTGAACTCGAAAATATGTAGACAGTTAGTTAGAAAAACAAAGTACTATGATAATGTAAGCATACCACACCATACCATACCTCTTTCGGATGACATCCACCGAAAACGAAAATTGGCTCCACACCACAGATACTAAACTCTTTTAACAATGACTGCACATAACTCTTAAATGCCAAATACTCTCCACCAAATTCACATCGCAAAGCAGCTTCACGATAACAGGCGGTAGCAAAGTTCTCAGCATCAATAACTAAAGGCTGGTTATGCAATTCATAGATGGATAAATCTTCACCTTTACTTTCTATATACGTCCACAACCCTCGGATACCCATCTCTTCTAAAACATAGATAAGACAAGATGATACGAGTGTGGGAATCTTTAAAAACAATAACGAAAACGTAAGAATAGAAGAAAACATTCACATCTAGATATGATGTAGATAACCTAACACCTATAATACAACTCGTCAGTAAATAACTATAACTAGGTCGACAACAATTCTATAAGATGATAAACTAAACCCATTCATTTGCTAAGCTTTTATTTTGCCTAAACTAATTCATCTTCCTTAACAACTCCAACCACTATTATTCTATTCATAGGCTTACTTTTATTACTTTTACTACACTAGATATGAAACAATTTGTCACTAAAGTGACTTGCAGATTACTACTTACCAAATAAACCAAATACAATCAATAATCCTGAAGCAACTACAATGAAAGTGAATGAGTAGAGAGATCAACTTGACTCTAGAGACAACGAACAATGATCTTTCTACCTATCTATCTATCTCCCTACTACCAAACCTAACTACCTACCTATCTAGCGACAGTATAAACAATTAAGCATAGTTCAAATCGAAAAATATTGAATCATCAGAATAACAATATATTTTAAAATATATACATATGCACATGTTATCAATCATCACGTCAATCTGCATCAACAACATCTGTGCAATAGCGTTGAGAGACGACGACAGAGTCTTCCACGGATAAAGTTAGACCGGTATCAGACATTAGGCATCCACCACTATGTGCCATCGTAACACCATTATCAATCAATGCAAAAAACGCCCATCAATTGCCAATCATTTTGCGCATTACTCTTCTGTCATCAAGTTCATCATTTCGTGTAGACGTACATTACTGCAACCAACACCACCGACAGTGAAAACTTCCTGAGAAATTTTCCAAAGTTACAATACTCATTACATTACAGTATGATAAGATTGATTAGTTAGTAATTAAAAGAATTCAAGATGGAAATTATTACATTTGTCACTGTTATGTCTACGGCTATCCTTAACTGACTTGCACTTGGTACCGAAAACCGCAAACACGACGACTGGTGGGTGATAAGGATTTACTTGACCCTCAATATAAATCAAAATGTTATATGCATGCATACACAACGTTTTCCATAGTTTATATACAGTCAGTCAAGTTGACAATCACACTTGTAGTAGTATTTAATTAATACCAATTTATCATTATCATCAGTGAGAAGACCTGTAGAGATTGTAATATTTTAACAGTTGAATTCAGGAGTCAATCTAAGCTAGATCATCACCATAGAAAACCACCACTGAAGCACTAGACGATCGTTTCGTCCTAGTATGCAACTCCTCCTCAGCAGTGCGCATCCTTCATCCCGGACAACGAAATGCAACCCAGCACCTTTCATCTAGCTCACATCACCTCGTCGTAAATTTAACTGTTCAAATAAATAATCAATATCATACTGGTCAATTTTCACACAGGCTGAATTTCTCTCTTTTCACTCTATCACATCAAAAATTATTACCCTTAAAAACGATTGCAAACAGAAAACCGATCATGTAGACGTTTATGTTTAGCGTGACACACGATCCCGTTTATCCTGTTCCGTCTAATATAAACAGGATCAGATATTAGATTGCTTTGAAACACATTTCACGGTACAATAAATATTAAATAATTGTGAGGTTTAAGTGACCCTAGATCTGACTGTACTAGGATCAGACGAATGCTCATTATCGAATGGTTATTCTGATGGTTCACAATCATTACAGTTTAAAATTAATTTTATACACAAATTAGTCTGTAATAGTTAAAGTCCAACATCTTTCGGAAGTGCTAAATACATGAACGCAATCAAATTAACAAAACACAACCACAAGTATTACGAGGAACGATGATCATCTCCAAAATATGCAAATTCTATACCGGTCGGTTGAATTACAGATGTTGTTATCCTTCTTATCGAGGGGAATGTGGTTTAAAGCCATACGGTATTGCTAAGTGGTTTATGGTTCATGTAAGTATAATTACATATACACGATTTGCTCTTAATTTGAATCAAATTAGAATACCTGTCTATCAACAATATCATTCTCGTCCTCATCACTTGACAATCACATATATGCAAACAAGTGTTATTCTGAGAAACTAACTCACATGATAGATAGACCTATTCTAGTCAACTCCAATTCTGTCTGCCTACTACTACTACTCAACTGTAATCAAAGTAGCACGTACAGTCCGACAATACAGAGGTTAGTATCTGCAGGAATCTCGTAACTTATGTAGAAAAGTCCGATCTCCAATAACTACAGATTAACAAGTGGTCTCAAACGACAAAAGCTATTGAATAAATATTAATATTGTCATTCAAATGATAAAAAGAAAAGACACTGATAAACATCTAAGTTACACTGAAACAGTACTATTCATCATAACAACGTCAATTCATCCGAACAAATGCAACTCACGGTTCACTTTGTGATGGCTCAGCTACGAGATAATTCCTTAGGCTTTCTATATCACTCGTCGCCCTGGTTAACCGTTATCACGTAACTCCAAATACCAATGCGAACGAGTAGACGAACAACTGACCACACCAGTACTAAATCGAATAAACTAATAAGATCCAATCTTATATATTAATCGAGTGGTTCAAGCAGTTAACATTTAGCCTTGAGAGAAAGAGAGGTATTTGTGCGCAGGCTGTCACATGTCATCTAGCTTATTTGCTCATCATGGGTATGATCATAATGATTAGGATATACAAATTGTCACTGCCCTCCTCCTCCTCCTCCTACTACTACTACTACTACGACTGTCCGTTAAATAAGTTAGTGGAAGGGCTTGACAAGATTAACAGTTAACGAACTGATCAGACGTACCATTGTGCATTCAATTCAAGTATGGTCTCACCGACAAAATTGTAGATAAGACGACCATTTAGATTAGCTGATGATTCATATAAATGAGTTCTTCACTAGCATTAATCACTCATATTATATTCCGCCTGTATTTTCAACAAAAGATATATACACTTAACAATGCGAACAAATTCAGAAGGACAAACACGAATTGTCTTCATGATAATTCATGTTGTTTAAATGGATTAATAATGAATAAACATAAGTTGTAGTGTGATGTGTATGTGCTACTTATGTCAACATAAGTAGTATATAACGATAGGCTAGAATGGAATGTCTAGCAGCAGAAGATTGAGGAGATCGAAGAGGAACGAACGGGAACAGAAAGTAGTTGGTATGGAAATAAATTTGGGGACAATGAAGTTTGAGACAATTGATTGACAATTGTTCGGTGACACAAATAGGTCAATGATATTAGTATCACTATTATTGTTAGACTTAAAAATCCCGGCGAAGTCAAATTTATGGATTGAAAACTAGATAACAATTCATTTCAACGTACTTTAGTAAGATCTAGTACTTACACCAATTACACCTCGTGAAGGAGAGTAGGTCACCCACCAGGATTAATTGTAAAACAAAAACCATTAATTTCTTAACTGATCAGCCAAACTTTTTAACAAATCATTCCGTGTTTTCTTTCTATATTTAATCTTAATATAACTATCATTCATTCATTCATTCACTAATCTATTTACATAAAGTAAACAACTTGGTCGAGAGGATTCGATCTACACTAAGAAGGATCTGACATACATGAAATGGCTCATCACCCAGTGATCAATCCATTGTAAATAAGCATCATTCCACACACAGAAATGATCGTTTGCCAATGAGCAAAACCTTGCATGGATCTAATTCATTGAACCATAATCATAAATAATATCCATGTTTATAGATTATCATTATTATCATCAATTCAACTGATAATAGATCTGTCATTTCGGAACTTGATTCAACTTCAGTATTGACGGTTATTCTAACCAGGAGTTGAGTTTCATGTGTATTATTACTTTATGTAATTGAGTTCCATTGATAAATCAGTTGCTTCTTTTTCAATGTAAACAATTCTACTCAGCTGACAAATGAAATCTTACACTTGGATTATCATAATTCATAGTGTAGTGAACAAGAACATAAGTGGAGACAATCGAATGTATTTGAATACAACAGTACAGAATCTCTTTGTAAAATCTAAGAATCATACTGTAAATGAACATACCGGATCTCAGCGGAGGAATAAATCAGAAAGTAGGGCTCGAAATGGATAGGACACACATTGAGTAAACCACTTAACTGGGTCGTAAGATAAGCCCTTACATGGAATCCTCAAGGCCGAAGGAGGAGAGCAGGACCAACGAACACATTACGTCAAGAAATGTAGACAGACATGAGAAAAATGAACAAAATTTGATAGAATTGGAAAAGAAAGCTCAGGACACAATGGGTTGAAGATTGATGGTTGGCGACCTATGCTCCATTGGGAGTAAAAGACGTAAGTAAGTAATACTGTAAATACTTCATTTACAAAATGTCAATCAAATGTCCCAGACTTGGTTGTTCCTTCATTTTCATACCAATCATTCTCCGTTCTCATTCTCATTCTCTTTCCTTCGATCTTCTTAATCTTCTGCCTCCAGGCATTTCACTTTCGATTGGTGATATTTACTACTTATATCAGTCGATATCAGTAGCACACATCAAAATAGTATTCACACTGGTAACGTTAAAAAATATTTTGTTAAGTTCTAGCAGAGCAAACGATATTCTTAATCGAAAGTTATTGGTATAAGTTTAATCTTCATGTTATACAAGACAGTGAATATGTCGGTGACAAGCCTAACTTGTTTGTTTGATTTGCCCACACGGCTATTCTAACTAGCCATCACACACACACACACAGAGAGAGAGAGAGAGAGAGAGAAAGAAAGAAAGATACAAAGTGTGGCTTCCAAATAAACAATCGGAACCTTACTTCTTGAGTGAAATCCTTATGCCATTATGGGATCACTTATCACTGTTCATCACAAACATTTGTATTCTTTATTAATCGCAACTGTTTGAGTGACTAGCTTAAACGGTTGAATATTATTAGATGATTTAGTTCATCTCAGTAAAGATTT